TACTTTTAATACCAACATAAGTTCAACAAATATTTAATTTTCATTTAACTCTGTTATAAAACAATTATGCAAGCACAGTGATAAGTGACAGGTGATACTGAGCCTTATTTCAAGGGTGAGAAAGTGGTATGAACTTTACAGAACTTGAAAATGTACGAATCATCAAAAGACAACCGTTGTCCTGGCTGCTGTGGCTCACTGGGTGAGTGCTGGCCTGCAAACCAAAGGGTCACCAGTTCGATTCCCAGTCAGGGCTCATGCCTGGGTTGCAGGCCAGGCCAGGTCCCCAACAAAAAGCACATGTGAGGCAAATGCACAGTGATGTTTCTCTCCCTCTCCTTCCTCCTCCCTTCTCCTCTGTAAAATAAATAAATAAAATCTTTAAAAAAAAAAAGAAAAAGATAATCACTGACAGTCTTGGCGACTGCTGCCAAATGATACTGTGGCCCAGTGTTGTCAGACCTTCCCAATTTTCAAAAGCAGAAAATCCAGATTTTCACATAAAAGCTCCTGATTTTTATATGCAGGAAATTTTTAAAATATATTTTATTAATTATGCTATTAGTTGTCCCATTTTTTCCTCACCTTTATCCCCCTCTTCAGGCATTCCCACACCTTAGTTCATGTCCATGGGTCATACATGTAAGTTCTTTGGCTTCTCCATTTCCTATACTATTCTTAACCTCCCTCTGTCTATTTCATACCTACCATTTATGCTACTTATTCCCTGTACTTTTTCCCCATTCTCCCCCTTTCCCCTCCCCACTGATAATTCCCCATGTGATCACCATTTCTATGATTCTGTTCCTGTTCTAATTGTTTGCTTAGTTTGTTTTTGTTTTTTAGGTTCCCTTGTTGATAGTTGTGAGTCTGTTGTCATTTTACTGTTCATAGTTTTGATCTTCTCTTTTTTAGACAAGTCCCTTTAACATTTCATATAATAAGGGTTTGGTGATGATGAACTCCTTTAACTTGACCTTATCTGGGAAGCACTTTATCTGCCCTTCCATTCTAAATGATAGCTTTGCTGGATAGTGTAATCTTGGATGTAGGTCCTTGCCTTTCATGACTTGGAATACTTCTTTCCAGCCCCTTCTTGCCTGTAAGTTTTCTTTTGAGATATCAGCTGATAGTTTTATGGGAACTCCTTTGTAGGTAACTGTCTTCATTTCTCTTGCTGCTTTTAAGATTCTCTCCTTATCTTTAATCTTGGCTAATGTAATTATGATATGTCTTGGTGTGTTCCTCCTTGGGTTCAACTTCTTTGGGATTCTCTGGGCTTCCTGGACTTCCTGGGAGTCTATATCCTTCCCCAGATTGGGGAGTTTTCAATTTCTTGCTCTTCCTCTTCTCCTTCTGGCACCCCAATGATTCAGATGTTGGAATGTTTACAGTTGTCCCAGAGGTTCCTCAGCCTCTCCTCATTTTTTTTAAATTCTTTTTTCTTCATTCTGTTTTGGTTGAATGTTTATTTCTTCCTTCTGTTCCAAATCATTGATATGAGTCCTGGTTCCCTTCCCTTCACTGTTGGTTCCCTGTATATTTCACTTTATTTCATTTTGCATAGCCTTCACTTCTTCCTCTATTTTGCAGCCATACAATCATTTCTGTGAGTATTCTGATTACCAGTGTTTTGAACTCTGCTTCTGATAGACTGGCTATCTCTTAATTGTTTAGTTCTTTTTCTGGTGTTTTGATCTGTGTTTGCGTTTGGACCATATTTCTTTTTCTTGGTGCACCTGTTGCATTGGCAAGGGAAGAGCCTCAGGTATTTGCCAGGGTGGGGCAACCTTCTTTGCTGCGTTGTGGCAGTGTATGTGGGTGAGAGATCAGAGAGGAAACAATGCAGCTTGCTCAGCTCTTGGCCAGCTTTCAGTCACTTCCCCCACTACCCACAAGCAAATTGCTCCATTCTGCTGCTGATTTCCAGGTGGGTGGGTTTGTATACGTTCTAGGACCCTGTGGGTCTCTCCAATGAACTCTTCTGTAAGGCTGGGAGTTTCTCCTGCCATCGCAACCCCCACAGATTTTTCAGCCAGAGGTTTCGAGGCTTTATTTCCCTGCACTAGAACCCTGGGTTGCACAGTATGTCTCGCTCCCCAGTTGTTCCTTCCAGTTTATCTGCATGCAAATGTGGGATCACCCGGTCCTCCACCCCAGCCACCTGTCTCTATCCGTCCTACCAATCTGGATGAATGTTTCTTCTATAACTCCTTCATTGTCAGACTTCCACACAGTTCGATTTTCTGGCAGTTCTGGTTGCTTTTTGCTTTTAAATTGGCTGTTGTCCTTCTTTTGGTTGTGCGAGGAAGCAAACCATACTACCTAGGCCTCCATCTTGGCCGGAAATCCTCTATATGCAGGAAACTTTATTAAATGCTACCATGTGGACCATCACTGCCCCAGCTAAAGAGTCTGACTGCTGATTTAGGGCATGGAGGCTAGAATACTAAACTAAAACTAGATCAAGTTAAAAGTGTTTGGAATTAATGTTGTAGGGCCATGTTAATCAACCTCCTTCTATTTAACACTGCTTTCTAGTGCTTTTTATAGCACAGAGATTAAAAAAAATTCTTATCAAGGTTTATTTCCTATAGTTTATACATATAAGTAGGATAAAAGCAGGTTTACAGTTGTTCATACAGAAAACACAATAATTAATAAATAATATAAGAATACACTCTGTTTCATGTACTCACAACTATAAACCTACTTTTGCCCTACCCTGTAGTTTTAAGTATATTAAATGTGCTTTTTCAATCTACTGTCCCTTCTACGCAGAAATTTTGAACTCCTCAATAGCTGGTATACCACTTGTTTGGTCAGTCTCTCTCTATTCCTGTCTCTGCCTGTGTCCCCTCCCTCCCTACACACCCCCTCCTTCTCACTTTCTCCCTAATACACACACATAATCAAATTATGAGCAACAGTATCAATTAGAGCCTTTAAAATAATACTGAGCTTATTTCCCTTGAACTTATTGTAGAGAATTTTGATTCTAGAGAGGTTTAAAAATAAAGATTACTTGCAATTCAATCTTCCAGAGATACTACTCTTAACATTTACAACACAATGTGCTTTCAACAAGTGAATAATGTGATCAAAATGATGTTTACAATTAATCTGTACCATTAGTCAGAATTAACTAAAATATGTTTAAAACATAGGGCTACAAAAAGTAATTTGTTATTTTGTAGTTGTTATTATGCCATTACTCTTAAGTTTAAATGTTACAAATAGTAAAAATACTTGAACCTAAAAAGAGAAAATGTAAATATCCTCAAAATTCTAAGAATAATTGAAGCTATTAGATCACATCACCATTTTTATTTCCTGTGAGTAAAAATATTTTAAACAGCCATAAAAAAAAAGAAGTCAGGCAGATTTAAGCCTCAGTGAGTGCACAAAATCAGGCCACCAGTTTTTATGGCTCACATTTAGGACAAGTTACAAATTCATTTACATGGTCATTTCCTTGAATTCTTATAAATACATCTGCTACATTTCCAAGCAGGTCAGTATTAAAAGTACAGAACTCAGCAGTATTTTAAGTACAATGCATATAAATTTCAGAATGGTGATGCTTCCTTCTCAAAGGCTGAAAGATATCTTCCTGCCAAGAGTGCACAACCTATTTCTCTCAGATTAGAATCAATCATTCAAACTCAAATTGAGAGGTTTTCTAAAAAACAACTGGCCTCCTTAAAAGTGTCAATGTCATGAGAGACAAAGAAAAGTTGAGGAATTGTTTCATATTAAAGAAGACTAAAGAGAATTTATAATTAAAGGTAATACAGGATCATGGACAGAATCCTAGATCAGAGAGAAAACTAACCATGACTTATTGACAAAGATTCTCTGCTTAAGCAAAGTTTAGTTTGATTCCTCTGAGACTGACCAGGTTCCATATTTGGGCATGTCCTCTAAGAGTCTAACAAGAATCCCGCAAAGTCAGCTTAAGCCAGAATCCCCTACCCCTGATATCTGATCTTCCTTGATAGCCGACTGAATTCCTCATTCCCCTCATCCCCCACTACCCGATCACCTTGGCCTGCCTTCAGCAAGAATCATATGGTTGTTTTAGCCAGAATCCCCTCTTTAGTAACCTGCCATCCAACATGCCCCATCCCCAATCCTGGGCTTTCTGGCTATAGATCCCCATTTCTCTTTGTTGTATTTAGAACTGAGCCCAATCCTATTTTGAGGTCTCTTTCCTCTACTGGAATAATTCCTGAGTAAAATCTGGTTTTGCTACTTTGACTACTGATAGGCACTGGTTTTTCTTTAACAGTAGTACAAAGCCTAACTAGCGAAAGTTAAAAATTGATTGAATAAAAGTATGATAAGAGTACTGGTATGATAATTTTACCAATATTGAATTTCCTGAATTTAAGGACTGCACTGAAGTTTTATAGAACAGAGATTGGCAAACTTTTCCTGTAACAAGGCCACACAGTAAGTATTTTAGGCATAGAGGACCACATACAGTCTCTGTCGCATATTGTATTTTTTGTTGTTTTCTTATAGCCCTTTAAAAATCTCAAAGCCATTTTTAGCTACAGAGCTCTATAAAAGCAGACTAAGGGCTGAATTTGGCCCACAACCCACAATTTGCCAACCTCCAATACAGAAAGTGTCCTGATCTTAGGAAATGTGATGAAGTAACCTATCCTCCTAAGATTCAGCAAAAATAATAATAATGACAACAAGTGAGAGACAAAACACGTGGCAAAATGTTCACAATTAGTAAATCTAAGTGAAAGGTGAAGAGAGTTCACAATGCTATGCTTGCAACTTTTCTTTAAATTTGAATTTTTTTCAGAAGAAAAGTTTAATATTTAAAAAAAACAAAACACCATATGTGTCCCTGGGGGTGTAAACCCAGAGAACACAAGGTGCAGGTATGGAGCAGGGTTCTGGTGGCTCCCACAGGAAAGAAGAGAATGAGAAGTCTCACAGAGCAAAGGGTATCCTGTCATCAAGGCAATTTCAGTACCTACCCGTGGGTCCAAAGGTATCTGGATTCTCCTGTCATCACAAGCAAACTCCGACGAGGCAACATCACTGGCACTGTGACACCATCTGGATGCTTAAAATCCATGACAATCTTGAAGTAAAGACAAAAGCATAAAGATTAATCCAAAGTGTCATACACTCCAAGAATAAGAACAATTCACTGATTCTGGCTAACTTTCTAGGCTAACAGGGATTAAAACATGATAATGCTTATAGGATAGCATAGCACAGTAGTTCCCAAACTTTGGTGCACATAAAAATCAACTGAACAACTAAAGAGCATACTTCATCCAGAGGGAGACTCAGCAAGGTCTCGAGTGAGGGGCACAGGAATCTGCATTTCTACCAGGCACCCCAGGAAATTATGATGCACGTGGCCTGAGGATCATACACAAAGCACTAGGGTGGAGGTTAAGTGCAAGGACTTGGGAGCTGAAACATTCACAGTCTGGCTCCTCCACTTACTAGTCATATTACCTATGGGTCAAGTAAGCCATTTAATCTCTGTGCCTCAGTTTTTAACAAATTAAACCTATAATGATACAAATCACAGTATCTGGCACACAGTAAATACAAAAAATAGTGATTATTATCATTAATAGAATTGTAACACTTAATAATCCAAGGAGAAATAATTATTAGATGCAGATTCTCATATAATCTACAGTGATCCCTCACCCATCACGAGAGTTACATTCCAGAGACCCCCAAGATAGGTGAAAATCCATGAAGTAGCAGCATTATATTTATTTTATTATTTATATATATTTTAAGGCTTTATAAACCCTTTCCACACTCCTATAAACCTTTCCCATTCTCTTATTAACCTTTCCCACACTCTTATAAACACTTCATATGCTCTTAAACACTTTCTACACTCTTAAACCCACGTGATTTTAACAACATACAAAATTCTATATGGGTACTCACCAGTGAAATTGAACTATACTGTATTTTGCCTTTAAAGTCATGCAATATTTTGGATATTAGAGGCTAATTTACAAGAGATCATCAAAAAACACATGAACTTTTTCAGCCACTCTTCCCAAGTTGTGCTCAAACATTATTATGAATAGCAACTTATAAAGATACAATACCCAAGAAAATGTTTTTTGTTCTCAGGAACCCAAACACCAAAAAAATTAATACTAAACACAGCAGCATTTTGACAAATGTGAATTTAAAAAGCATGCCTCAAGGCTTAGAAATATTTAAGTGAATAAATCAATCCACTTGAAAAATAAATACAACAACCAAATCAGTGGGATGAAGAGAATTTAGCACAGTACCTTCCTTAAAGGTAAACGTAGCACAGTACCAGATACAAAGTAAGCATTCAGTAACACTTAGCTACTGTTATTATTAATAATATTGTACCAAATTAGATAATACACATGAATATTTTTAGCAACTATAAAGAATTATACAGATCTAAGCTGGTTTATCCTTTTCTCATCTGACCTTCCAATCTAAATATTGAAAATAAAGATGATAGAATTTAATTTTCCAATAATTATCTGTTCTAAATGATTACATATAATTTCAAACAATCTACTCCAAATGTATTCCATTTATAAACATTGCAGATGAATGTGAAGTTTTGGGGGTAAGTATACTAATGCCTGAAACTTCCCTGAAATATACAATAAAAGAAGGTGAACTAAAGAGGATTAATAGATGGACAGATACCTGATAAAGCATATATGTTAAAATGCTAAGTGCAGAATCCAGGTGATAGGTATATGTATAATTCTTTTAATTTCTCTGTATGAAGATTTCCATAAAAAATGTTGGGAGTAAAAACCTGCTGTGGCCTCTTTTTAAACCAACACATACAGGTCTCAATTTTCTGAATAGACATTAAGGTCTATACACAGCAAAGTATAATTGGCATACTTATTAATTAATTTATGAGAGACAATCATTTGTGGCTTAAAGGAATGACAACTATCTGTATGAAAGCTGTTGATGGGAAAATATTCTGAAAGACTATACCCCAATTCATTCATTAGACAAATATGTATAATCATCATGTGAGGCATCCACGGCTGCAATGGTGAATAAGAGACATGTTATGTTGTCCGCACACCTACAGGTTACAATTTCTACCTAATTAACAGTCAACATATTTTACAAATACACAACACCTATAATATTTGTGAAATTTAAATATATTTTCAGAGACTAATAATTTCAAACAGGGAAATCTTGGTTTTAATAAATGACTAGAACTGACAAGAGAAGTGTGAACATAATACTAATTAATTTGGAAACCACTTACTATTTGCCAGTTTACTACAAAAGGATAAAATAAATATCCAGATGGAGGAATGCATAGGGCACAGTATGCGGAAAGGAGCACGGAGCCTCCAAGTCCTCTCTGGGCTCGCCCCTCTCCCAGCACCGCATGTGCTCAGCCACCAGGAAGCTCCCCCAACCCCAAACTACTGGAATTTTCACGGAGGCTTTGTCATGTAGTTAGGATCAATTAACTATTTCCAGCCCCTCTTCCCTGTCTGAAAAATGAGGGACAGCACTGAAAATTCCAAGTTTCTGATCATTACTTGGGCTTTCTGGTGACCAGCCCCCATCCAGGAGCCAATTAGAGTCATCTCATTAAACAAAAGATGTTGCTATTACCCAGGAAATTCAAAGGGATTTAGAAACTCTGTGTTAGGAACTAGAGTGAAAGACAAAATATTAGAATAAAAGATGCTCCTAGTCTCTTATCACTTAGGAAATTATAAGGGTTTTAGAAGTTCTGTGCCAAGAACCTGGGCAGAGATCAATATATCTATTTTCTATTATTTCATAGGTATACAATATTAGAGTATAATATTTTAATTAGAAAATTTTATTTATGAATTAAATGCATTTTCTTTTTAAAGCATTTCACCACAAAAATGAAGTATTATCAGTATCATCATACTTAAAGTATCTGTATCTAATTAAATAATGCTTGTTAAAAAACCAAAAAAACTTAAAAATTCACTATAGATTGATAACCAGTAATGCTCCCTGTAACTGCTGAATCACCCTGCCATGTAATACCTTTGCCCACAAGACTTTTCTCCAATTATTCCTTTTGGTTCTACCTATTTTCTCTATTTTCTGAGATGGCAGAATCAATAAAGATCAAGTTTCCAGAAAGCTCACGGGGCACGACTGAAGATAATGTTCAGTTCAAAGCAAGCAAACATAAAACCCTAGACATTCTGATCTTATAAAACCTTTACACATCCGAAACACAACATTAAACCCCAGACAGAGCTATCACTCTATCACTCAAGTAAAGATTCTTTACTTGAAGAAAAAGTAAACTGAATTCTTTTACTTTTACAAAAAAGTACGTGAAGGAATAAACAGATCTTCATGTTGGCTAAACAGGAAATCAAAGAATGTATTGTACACTTCAGAGAAAGAAGAAAAACTTAATCTTGATCCTTTTTGGTTAGAAATGGGCTGAGGTCATTCATCTTCTGAAATCCTGAAGGGCATGTAGGCAAGAGACAGCAGAATGTGAAGAAGGGTATCACAGAGGGTATCACAGAAGGGTATCATGATGAAGGCGACTATCACTATAGAACACACTTCACAGCTAAGAACTTAGCAGAATGGAGAGACATCTACCCGTTTCCCACAGCCTGACAAATGTAAATCCTCTGTAGCTGCACGAATGTCTTCACTGGACTCAAAGGAAACGAGTTTGTCTTTTTATTTTAAAGAGAACAAACAATTCCACATGCCTCATCATGGCCATGTCTCCCCTGTTTGAACAGTGGGAGAGAAGAGATGGAGAGAGTGAGACAGGCACAATTGCAAGGGCACAGACTGAAACTATAAACCATTCAAGAAAAAAAACAACAATGTCAAAAATGTCTGTTTACATATTTACCTTGCATTTACAAATGAGATAATCAGTCCACTGTGGGGGAGAAGAAATCTGAATATTTTTAGTAAAATAAATACAGTTTTCTGTCTCTCTACAAAAGATGATACTCCTAGAAGTATACTTTGCTAACCTGAGAAGCAGCTGGAAGAGAAGCTTGCTGGAAAAATATGCCATATTTTTCCAAGACAGAAGAATTTATAAAAACTTTCCCTAGGACACCTTGGAGACCAAATAATGGCAATGACCTTTGCATCGTCTGCTACGCCATGTAAGCTGGCTTAGTATCCATCCTTAAAGAAAAGCGAAAATCAAAAACCACAACAAACCCATTTCCACTCCCTCATTCCTACTAGCAAAGTATGTTTTAAAACAACAACAACAAAAACAAGAGTCTCGAATCCATTTGCTAAATTTCTTGAAAATGGAATCTTGTGAAACTCAAAGGAAGGAGACAATAGCAGCAACACTCCCTGAAATCAATACACAGGACACAAGACCTTCCATTTTAAAATAACTAACCAAGCCCTGCTCCCTTGTCTACCAGTGAGTAGTAACTTTATAAAGTATAGGCCTCAATATTCATGTCATGAGAGGGAAAAATCTCACATTAGAACATAAAGATGAGAGGGCACCTTATGACATAGAACAGTGGTCCAGCAAGAAGTCATATGCGGCAGCTAAATACCACTGTAGGCCACAGGAACTTATTTCTCATTGCTCCTAAGAAAGGATGCAAGAAGCAGGGTACTATTTCATGTTTGTGGTGTGAAAACTCGTCCTACTTCATCAGGTACCATGTACACAGTTAGGGCATACCTGGGAACTTGTCTATAGTACTGCATATGTGAAACAAGCAAACTTAGACAAGGCTAAAATTTTAAAAGGAAACACCACAAACAAATCTACTTTATAGCACACGTCAGCAAATTCTGCCTTTCAAATACAATTCTGCCTAACAAGAAAACTAGGTTCCAGCTGCTGAATGAATAGATTCTGCTATCTCTTCATCTTTTGCCCCCAGTACAGGTGATTTTGATCTATTTTTATCTGGCTGAGCTCAAGTAAAATGTACAATAAACAGAGAAAGTACCTTTTAGTTTAATGGTCTAAACACACTGCTAAATGGCACAATAAAGAACAAAACAAAAAATGTGTAAGGGAAAAATAAGGTTGTAAACAAAAGGTACTAAATTGGAGAC